CCCGAGTGGAAGGGGAGGGGGCTGAGAAAAGATCTTGCACCAGGCCCCTTTGTTCCTTAGGTCCACCACTGACAGTACCTGAGGATATTGATAGACCCCCGTCAGTTCTGCTGATGCCATAGAGGAGGAGATGGTCCGGTGACCTATGAACCCAAACACTGTACTCTTCTTATGACAATCATAGTTTGGAATTGGATCCTCTGACCCGGATAGGACATCCAGAACACTCTGTACAGTTTCACGTTCCCTATTACACGTATCATAAACCTGGAATCCCAACGTGATGTTCGGCAGCAGGTCTGTTCTGTTGTTAATTTCCTCTATAGCAAATATGAAGGCCAGAAGATGTCTCAGATACCTGTGAGGAAATCTGAAGAGAGACAATTAATCTTGCTTCGTATGCAACAAAAATCTATAATACACTGTTCTATAAATATTTAAGCAAATAATGTACAACTAGATTATGATTCCTAACAAAAAATTGAAAATGGAGGCAAAACATGTGCCACCAGCCTAAGGATCAACTTTTTCCTAGATGCATCTTATTAATAAATGATGTGAGCAAGATAGAGAGTACAACAAAATAATATTTGTTATTGCAAACCAGTAAAGAAAAGTAAATTAATTTAAAAAAAAAGGATATTAGTGTTGCCCTATACATTGTGGTATGGGAGTTCAAGTACACTGACAGCTTGGCAATATTATACTTAAGCACAAAGCATGTTTGGATAAAGCATGGATGCTTCCAGCTGAGTTACACAAATGTACCCTGAACTGTGTTTGACTGGAAGAGAAGAAGTATAGAAGAAAAAGGGGCTGGGTTTAAAATGGCATCTTTTCCATACCGATTTTTTAATGGCGGGTGGAGGTGACACTGGAAAGATCATGGTGTTTTTTTGAAATGCCAAGCAAGGCATAAGCGTAAAATTAAAGTTTTTTTGGCTGAAACCATAAAGCCTAAGAAATGACCAAGACTGCAGAAGATGTATATTTGTTGTCACTGTGACCAGAAAAGTTATAAATGTGAAATAAGATGGTTTACTTTTCAGTTGGAATTTTTGAAAAAATAAATTAAATCTGAACTTTTCTACCATTAGTCCCAAGCCAAAGAAACTGAGGACTCAAGGACACCCTAAAGTATACAGCAACGGCAAGTATACCCAAGGACACCCTAGTATACGGCAACTCCGCTGCTTCACCTAGACCTTATATTGGATTTCCTTCTTTTATACCACATCAGATACGCTTTGCGAATGCCTGTAAATTATATTTTAAAAATCCAGATACTGGTCTTAGACTAGTGTAGCCCCCACCTCCTTCAGTGGGGTGGCTACTAGAAATATAGCTGTCAGGATGCAGGGGGTAGTACCACTCCTCGGGGTCAAGGGGCACGGAGCAGGGCACGGGTTCCCCTCCAGTCTGCCCGAATTCCTGCCGCCCAGGTTGCAGGTGCTCATGCGCAGTACTCGGGCTGCGCGCGCAGTTCCGGAAACGCGCACTTAGCGCGCCTGCGCCATTAGGGCTGTCAGGTGTGGGCCTTGCTGGAGGAGGTTCCCAGCACACATCTTACACCACTCTCTCCTGCCATTGGCTCTTGGGGAGGGAGGCCTCCTGGTTGCCTCGGTGACCGGGGGGTTGTCCTACACTCCCTGGCTATAAAAACCGGGCCAGAGCTCTGGCTTGTTGCTGAGTTATTCCACCCTATGGTGTGATTACCTAGCTCCCCATCTGTGTATCCTGCTTTGCTTCCTGACCCTTTATCTGGACCCCCTGTTGCCGACCCTGGACTGTCTTTTCGCCCCTGAACCCTCGCTGCCTGCCTCAACTCGGATTGGACTTGACTTCTCTTTGGATTATCCCTTTTGTACCTTTGCCTTTGGACTTTTTCAGCCGTTTTCTGCCAGTGGGTTCCACTCCGTTCCTATCAAACTTGTGGCTCTCCTGACAATAGCTTTGTTAGTACTGTAATCAGTCTGGCTGATTTGTACTCTGTTATTATCTGGTTATCTCCAGGTGTTGGTCCTGCCTGAGTGGGGCAGCCAATAGAGGAGCATCATGAGTGTCTATGCCTCACCAGCTAATTGCTAGGAATTTCAAGGCCAGTGGTGCATGCAAGGGGAGAGCATATATACTCAGGGATTGCCATGAACTCAAGTGCAGTCTGCCCGTAGGCTTGGCCTTGGGGGTAGCATGTACAATGTTGGAGAAGCTGACTAGTCCTCAAGTCTGGAGGAGGCCCCATGTGGACCCAGGTGGGGTCTAGAATTGTCTGGGGAAGAGAACCAAAGAAGTCTTATGACTAATAAAGGTACCAGGAGCTGATATGGACCTCAGGAACAAGTCTGGTGTCTCTCCCATAGAAGATCTTATGCACATCCCTATTCAGCTGTTGCTCTATTGCCCTCCCTGCCCTTTGGGAGTCCACCTCATGCCTCTGGGGGTCAGGGGGTGCTACACTAATATACTTTTTTAACTATCTTTAATTTTATTGCAAATAGAGTATTTAGTACAAAGGTACAAACATCAGATATTACCAAAGGATTCGTATAAAAGCACCAAGATAGGGGGGCAAACTCCATGTATAACATTTCATCATGACATAAGGAAATGTTGTAAATATTTCCCCTCAGTATCTAGTGAACAAGAGATGAAGTAGATGCAATTAAATAAAAGTAAGCTGTGGAACATTAACAAGGAATGGAGGGGAAGGAGAAGGAAGGGAAGGGACAGGGGACAAGGCAAGGAGGAACAAGTATCTTAGGGCAGTAGGTCTCTTCACGTAAAGCCACCATCTCAATAGGAATAGGAGGGGAAGCATTATATAGTACATCTGAGAACAGGGTCAAGGACTTGAGACTTGCAAATATTAATACTTATAGGCATAGTGAACACACTGCTCAAATTCAAGCAGTATGTGTCCAGCTGCAATGGGTCAATAAGGTGTGCTTCAGTACTCATGTGCTAGCAAGGAACATGTTGATAGGTACAGGGTAGAATGAGAGACGGATGAGCTCATCTGTCTGCTGCTTCTACTTCTACTTTCCATTTACAGCTTGGTAGAGGAACAAGACCTGCAAGTGTTTCTTAATTGCAGCAGAGAAAAATCGGGTCTCCTGGCCTTCCAGACATGGCTGTGTAGAAAACCTGACTAAATCACAGGACAGGATGGACATAAATTTGCTTGGTGCTCAGCTTCAATTACATCGATATGAAAAGGTCGCTTCAATAACTTGTTAAACGCTTTGTTCCCATCTTTTACAACTGAGGACTGCACAAGGATGTGTCGTGTGGGAGGAGCTGGGACTTTCCATGAATCCAAATTACTTACTGTACACATGAGTCCACTGCCTGATTTTTTGAGCAAAAGGAAGGTAATGGATGAATGCTTCCAGAAAATGATATCTCTAAGATTCCTCCAACAATCATATCACCTTCTCTAGTTTGGTATCGGGGTCTGTCATAGATCATCTCCAAATGACATGCCGGTGTCCTCACATCCTCTGCTTCATTATCTTTCATGGCCGGCAGAACACACATAAGCAAAATACAGTTCAATATTTTCTTGTACATTTTGATCTGGAAATCAGGAGAAAAATAGAGAAACCTAAAAACCCAAGGGAATTTTTAGAAACTTTTGCATCAATATATTTAAATGTATGCACATAATCTTAGCTCTATGTGTAAAAGTTTAAAGACCTTACTTTTGTGCATACTTTGTGAATATACAGTATATGCATACATTGTTCAGTGCATACTCAGGATCTACTTCGCAGCTTTACACAATGTCTATACTTTACTGCTCCTTCTCACAGTAGGAGTAAGCCAACCCCCTGAAAACAATGCCCTTCCTGTGTGGCCAATAAATCAGCCAATGTCAAACAAACATTTAAGAGCAAGCTTGCCTGAGATTGCTTTGCTTGGACGTTTGTTGAAGCAAGCCAAACCAATGCCAGGGCCGCCTGTGTCCTAGCAGGCAATGGTACTGTGCAACCAAAGTTGTTGGTGGCCCGACAGCATCATAGGTTGTTATGGTGCACCCACCTTCATCCTAGCAGCCAATGATGTTGAGTTGCTCATCGCTGGTCAGCCAATGATGGTGTGCAGGCCGCACAGACACAGACAGGTTTAGTGGGTGGATGAGATGGTCAAATTGCCCATTCAGTGAACTGCAAACTAACTCATGGTTTTCCAAAAATTAAAGCTCATTCCTACAAACAAACTGATTGTCACACTGTCCTGGTATCCATGCTGTATTTTTCCATGCTAGATTTTCCCCTCTGCAGTAAGTGCTTGGCTGTCAGCCTATGGGGATTCCCAGGGCTGCAGCCAATCTTCTCACTTCCTTCCCTATTTAGGTTCAGCTCACTTGTTGCTCTGGGTTCGATCAACAAGTCTGTTTTCTCCTGCTGGACCCTCCTGTATACCTTGTAGTTTCTGGAGATATTTTATGTTCCCCTGGACTCCTTGTGAACTCCTGTGGATTCCCTGTTTAGCAGTTCCCCTCCTTGCTGTCCCCTGTGTCCCTGCTTGCTCTCAGACCCTTATGATTCCCTGTGGTATTGCTGTGCATGTGAGTGGCCATACTTGTCTGTCCGCTGACTGCTATCCACTAGTGTGTGCCTCTCTTCACTCCAGTGTGTGTGCTTCCCTTATATCTGCCCTGCTATCTCAGAGTCGTGCTGTGTTCCATTTTGTTCTGGAAGTTCCTATTCTGCCCTGTGTACCTGTTTCAGCATTGTCTTTGAGTACCTTCCCTGTGTGACACAATGTTTTCCTGGTGGGTATCTCCCTGTATGCCCATCCTCACTCCCTGGGAGTCATCTCCTGCCTTTCCTGGGCCCTCCACATGTGTATTCCTTTTACAGTTTACTTCTGTTTCCGCACGGTCCTTGTGTGTATCTGGCTCTCTGCCCTGTACCTTTGTATAACGCATGTTCCTTGTGATAAGCTCATTCCTTGCACCCTGTGTCTCAGTGTAGCATGTTCCTGGTATCTGTCATGTATATCATGACTCCGTGAATGTGCGTCTCCTGTACGCACTCCCCTGCGTGTTCTCAACCTTCGTGGCTGCTCAAGCAGCCATGAGGTAAGTAAAACCCTTTTCGGTGACTTTTTAAAAATGTTTTTGCATATATCTGCTGCTTGATAGAAGTAAATACATGTTTTTAAAAAACCCTGAGGGTTTGATGTCCCTTTAAGGTCCAGGACCTGGCTATATTTTCTGGCAGCAGTGACTGGATCACAAGACTAACTGAGGAGAACTACAAATCTTTTGGCAGGTTTATAGTTCATATATTGTGTATGTGTTTTATTTTTACATTGAATGTTGTAATAAAAGGTGCAGGACCTGTATTTGGCTATTTACTCGGAGTTCTGATTTAAAAGAAATCTGTCAGTAAGATAATATGGGGGCTGAAATGCTGACTTGTCTCTAAAGATACATACTACAGGGCTGTCATCTTCATCCTTCACTACATAGTAAGTCACTGACCTGGAACATGTATGCAGATCAGGAGTTACCCGGCTTTCCAGTCTTCATGCTTTGTGCTGGTTCAGTGACTTAAAAACTATTCAAGTCACACAGCCAGGCAAATAGCATGCTCAGATGTAGCTCAGCAATGACATCCATTTCTCTCTCTGTACATGTTTCCTTTAAGGCACTACAAATATAAGCCATGATCAGAACTGACAAACATCCCTATAACTCTCTGACCCTCCATGGCGGCAATGTCACAGAAAAGTCCGCTCTCTTCCTAATCTCCGACTGTCAGTGACAATGGCAACTTCAGCCAAACTAATCTAACATATTCAGCACCTTGTCTGTGAGCAGCCCTCCCTTCCTGTATTACAGTCCACAGCACAGGCAGACAGGGAAATGAAGTCTCTAAGTGTGTGACAGGTCCTCTTTATTCTATGATACATTGTATAACATTCATTCTCAGCCTCGTGTATTCACATCTACTATTCTCAGATGTCATCTCTCTGTGTCCTGTATATGTACAGAGAGGTGAGGAGACCAAAAGAGGAATACGGGGCCGCAGATGTACGAGACACAATTATATCACAGAAATCATTTTAATAAATACTAAAATCTGAGATCTTTATAAAGAGAAATGTTATTTAAGAATGAAGATACAGTAATACAGCAAAGAAAGAAGATTCATTTTATAAAATCATGTAGAGATAAAAAGTAACTAAAGAAGTAATTTTATCTCCCCATATAAAGAGATGAGTGAGTTAATGGGTCAGCCCAGGGTCAGAGAGTTAAATGTTCATCATGGGGGAGTCTTTCTATGTACAAGGACCCCAGTGTGTATATACTAGTCCCACATCTAGTTCAAAATCTTTAATGAAACTTCTGGGTCTTTACCGCAAGATATGCTTTTTATTAATGCTTTTCCAAGCCCAGGGTCACAGAGTTAAAGGGCCAGCCCAGGGTCAGAAAGTTACAGGGTCGTCATGGCGGAGTCCTCCTATATGCAAGGACCCCAGTGTGTATATTAGTTCAAATCTTTAATGAAGCTGCAACCTCTGGCTCTTTTCCGCAAGATACGCTATGTGCAATTTGTGTTGCTTTGCCAAAGCCAGGGAAGGAGCCGATTCAATTACAGATATAAAAATGTATTCTAAGATGATTGCCAATAGGCGGCTACATTTACCCCTACCATCATCCACCCTGATCAGGTGGGCTTTGTGAAGGGCAGACATGCTATTGAAGGTAGCAGGCGGATGCCGAATTTGATCAAACATGCAGAGGTCTGTCGAACGCCTTGTTTGCTCCTGGCTCTGGATGCAGAGAAGGCATTCAACCGGCTACATTGGGGTTATTCTGTATGTCCCTGACCTTCCAGTGTTTTGGGTATGATGGCAATATTTTATCTGCAATCATGGTGCTCAACACGTTTCCCACCACAAAGGTTTTGTCCTCGGTTATGCTATGTCGTTCCTCTCTATTATGAATGGGACACAACATGGATGCCCTTTGTCACTGATTATAGTTTCTGTGATTATGGAACCCTTAGCAGTGACAATTAGAAGCAATCCTAATGTTCAGGTTATTTTGGTAGGCAATTCTGTCCATAAAATTGGTCTTTCTGCTGATGACATTATACTTAACTTGACAAATCCGGCTCCTTCTCTGGCAGAAGTACAAAAACTCTTGCGTTTGTTCAGTACTGTGTCGTATTACAAGGTGATTGAGGGGGCTTCCCATATTTTAGGTAAAGGAATTGAGCAATCAGAGCAAGCATGCCTACTAAATTTCCTTATTCTTGGACACAGCAAAGCATCCCTTATTTTGGTATTCACCTAACTTCCACCCCTAGTGCCTTATAAAAGCTGAATTAAATAATTTAGGAACATTTGAAACGCTCTCCGCTGGTAGAGTAGCGACATTACAGACGAGTATTCTTCCTAAAATCTTGTACTGCGTCCACACTTTACATTTCCACTTTCTTCTAACTTCTTTACTTGCTTACAGTCTAATATTGGTGCTTATGTGTCACGCCCTGTCTCCGTGAGTATAGAGTTCTGGATCTCAGCTACAGAGTTGTAAGGGAGTTGGACTCGAGATGAGCGGTATGACGTTAATTCAGGCTTGAACCTCTGGCGTCACTCACAATCTAATGGTGAATTAGAGGTTCGTGCATCATACACCGTGCGACCTATCAGGGGGGGACAGGAGTGGCTATTACGTCATAGGCCACTACAAAGCAAGTGGCTGGATAGCTTCAACCCTCAAAACTATGTAAGAAGTTCGTTTGTAAGTCCTAGAGTAAGCAGCAGGTACTACGGGTAAGTATTGGTAATGCACAGGGTGACACGGCACAAAATACTTCTGTAGTGGTTAAAGTCAATGGGTTTCACATATGCAACAACAGTAGGAGCAATGCATAAGCATATGGCTGCAGCTATAGTCACAGAGTACTTGCAGTTTTGCTGAGTGTAGCTCTCAGAGTGGTGGTTGGAGTAGGTCCTCCTGTCAGGCTTTGGATGGTGATGTCCTGGCACCAAGGAGCTTCAGTGGGGTTAGGATAGGGGATTCCTCTTGTGGGTTAGCAGGGCGTTCGATCCTCAATAGTGGAACGCTTGCTAACAATTCATGGTTGTTTAAATAGCCAGCGAGCGCAGGAAACGGACGGATCCCGTAGTGCCGCTGCCGCGTTCCAGGGTGGAATGCATCGGCCAGCGTCAGAGTGAGGAGGCGTGACGGCGGTGATACTCTTCCTGGTGCGTTCCACCATGGAACGCACACTCGCCGCGGGAACCCTTACATTATGTTTAGAGTGGAAAGAGATGGAGGATATCTTGTTCCCTACATTGATCTTAGACGCTGGTGCTTCAATGGATACCTTGCGGTCTACCCGTTGGAAGACTTGCATACATTTTTTTATATATTTATATATTCTCAAATTAAACACTACCAAGCCTCTGCATCATTTAAGTCCATTCAAGTTCATAGTGGAATTTTGGGACTTCTTCTTAGTTCAAAGGGAACCTTCATTTGTCAATATCTTTTCTTAATACTGCTTACTACAGGACATATTATGTTTTCAGAAACGTCCACTCATGAATAAATGGGAACGGGAAGCTGTGTGATTCTCTGTTGATCACTGGAAACATGCCATTAAAGCTGATGCATCCCATTCCAAATGCATTAACCATTGGGAAATGTCCCATAAAATTATGCCATGTTGGAATTTGATGCCCTTCTGCCTTTCAAAAATGTCTTCAGCAAATTGCCATATTGTTGGCAGAATTGTGGACAGATAGGTAAACTTTCACATATAAGTTTCTGGGGCGCGCTGTTTAAATGACTAGCTGCACTTACATGGATACTTACTACTCCTATTCCTCAATCAGCATTGTTAGGCATAGGAGTGGAAATTTACCCCCCGGCTTTCATAGCTACTGTGATGCACTTCCTTCCTTTGTGGCTCGGTTTCTCATATCTACTGACTGGAAAATGCTATAAAATAAATGAAATAATATAATAATAAATAATATATAAAATGCTATCTATACGTACATATTGGCTTACAATTATATGCTATTGTGATTGCAATGGGTCAATGCTCTGCTCAAAGTTTAACTACATAGGGATGAGGAATGCCCCTGTCCATACCTAAAAAGTGGTTTTAGTGAAGTGCCCGTGTGTACAAAGCCTAGGAATGCTTGTCACAGATTGCAACAATTGTCATCAGTATTTCTCTTATAGTGCTGCTCACTAATATAAACTACTCTCCATCTTACGCATTAGGAATGAATCTAACCCTTATCGCACCGTGACATGGCATAGCACTGTCACAATAGATAATCATTCATTTGGAATGCACAGTATTAGCACAGTATTTTATTATTTTGTTTGGCTAGATGGTTGGCGTGGGATAATAATGAGAGCTATACACACACTACAGATAGAAATAGAGGATGTGCCCGGTTGTGGCTGCAATGGAAGACTTGCATACATTTTTTTATATATTTATATATTCTCAAATTAAACACTACCAAGCCTCTGCATCATTTAAGTCCATTCAAGTTCATAGTGGAATTTTGGGACTTCTTCTTAGTTCAAAGGGAACCTTCATTTGTCAATATCTTTTCTTAATACTGCTTACTACAGGACATATTATGTTTTCAGAAACGTCCACTCATGAATAAATGGGAACGGGAAGCTGTGTGATTCTCTGTTGATCACTGGAAACATGCCATTAAAGCTGATGCATCCCATTCCAAATGCATTAACCATTGGGAAATGTCCCATAAAATTATGCCATGTTGGAATTTGATGCCCTTCTGCCTTTCAAAAATGTCTTCAGCAAATTGCCATATTGTTGGCAGAATTGTGGACAGATAGGTAAACTTTCACATATAAGTTTCTGGGGCGCGCTGTTTAAATGACTAGCTGCACTTACATGGATACTTACTACTCATATTCCTCAATCAGCATTGTTAGGCATAGGAGTGGAAATTTACCCCCCGGCTTTCATAGCTACTGTGATGCACTTCCTTCCTTTGTGGTTCC